AGACTCGACGGAGTGGATTGAGATGGGTTTTGTACACACAACAGCTCAAGCCTTCAACCTTTTGAAGCTTCGGCAGCACGGCTGTGCTTTTAGTAGAAGCTTAGCATCGAGTTGTGACAAGCCAAATGAGCAAGGTCCTTCACAGCCGGATTCCAGAGGGGAAGACAAGATGTCACTGTCTGAGAACTTTGAAAACAGGTCCCCCACTAACCGGTTCCACGTTGCGTGCCAATGTGTGCCATATAGTCATTAACAGAAGGCCAGTACGGGGTGTGGGAAAAGTGTGGGTTTGACATTCTAGGGAGCCGGGGAAGCCTTACGTAAGGGCGCCATCTCCCCAATTCCCCTTTCAGCATGGCCTACATAAGTGGCAACTGTAATACCGGAAACGGACGCTGACCTCCTGTGTACTCTGTGTGCGCTCTACGTGCCTTTTGGGCTTCTTTGTAGCGTGCTCTTTATGGAGATCTCCTGAGCCTGCTTGCATTCATGGAGCGATGCAAGATTGGGTAGGCCCCCCTTGGGCCCTTGGGAGATCTTGTAGTTTCCCTTATACTGGGTTTCATAGGATCACATGATATTTTTCAGAGGGCTGCCGAAGTCGTGCTCCCGACAGGCCATCCTCGACGAAGGCAAGGCAAACGAAGCGCTCGACAGATCGGTCAAAGCAACCATGGCGACTTGGCAGCCTGTCTGGGTGCAGAGAATGCACAGCCGCCAGAGCCTTTGCATCCATCAGCCTGGCCCGAGAAGTTCCAAGTAAATCTGTTCGACAACAGCACATTTCCTCCTGTATCGATTTCTGCTGGGGCTGGAGTAGCATGGCCTGTCAATGCACGGTGGTTGTGGAGATGGAGGGTTCCGGACCTGAAACCCCCGAAGCTCTGCAGCTCATTGCAGAGCGTTTCCGCCCCAGCCAAACAGACGACCCTGAACGCCGAAAACCCTCAGGCGAAGGAGGCGGCCCTCACACAAAAGGAGAACGAGTCTGGCTCTCAGCTGGGTTTGCCCTTGATCGCTTGATCCTTCCAGGGCCTCAAGGCTCGGGTAGGCCCACCACTTCGGTTTCACACTGTGGTTGAGACAACCACTGCATCGTGGCTATATGACGTGACAAGCCACCACAAACTCTGTGAATTGGCGTCGGTGCTCAGGTACCGCGAGTTCAAAGAAGTCGTGGCCAAGGAGCATTTCAGGGTGTGTGGTTGTCCATGGATCATGTGGATCATTTGCTGGGCCCTAGAAGGCACTAGCAACTTCGCCAAACCGACATTCCAAGCAACAGACCCTGTATGACTAGTCTTACCAGAGAGGCATCAGGCACAGGAAGGGCTCAGCTGCCACTGCAGACTCCCTCTGTCACCACCCCCCCCCCCCCCCCCCCCCGCGCCCTACAGAAAATCCAAGAGCTGGCCGACCAGAAGATGGCAGCTGCCCAACAGCCCTTTGCCTCTTCAGCTTGGACTCTGTTCTGAGAATTTCTGCTGCGGAGATTGAGGGTAAACACGGCATACATATGTAAAAAGGTAGAAAGAAGTAGATAAATAAGATATATATATATATATATATACATATATGGTACCCCCCCCCCCAGTGACCTACCCTTTTTCGCCTTGTCTCAAGTCACCCAGCTGCACTGCAAGCAAACTCGGTGTGCAATATAGCGTATTTCCTAGGGCGTAGACTAAAATACAACTAAATCGCATATACGGGACAGTAGAAAAACCAAAAATGCCAAAACCAAAAAAACCAAAAAACCAAAAATACCAAAAATACCAAAAAAAACCAATTTTCCGGGACTCTCAGGAAATCCCTATGAGGCTTCTCCAAGAGTCCCGGAAAATTGGTGTTTTTGGTATTTTTTGTTTTTTTGGTTTTGTTTTTTTTTGGTTTTTTTGGTTTTTTTGGTTTTTTTGGTTTTGGTGTTTTTGGTTTTTTGGTTTTGGTATTTTGGCTTTTTGGTTCGCCTTCACGGTCACGAGGCAACAACTACGCATTTTTAAGTGTGCTTATGCTAATTGTGCTTTTCAGAAATAGTATACAAGTGGTCTTTCTAGTGCTTCAGAACTATTTGTTTCGTTATTATGTAAGTAGAGCCGCTAGTGTTTAGTGCATCTTTTGGTTTGGTTGTACTCAAGTGTAGTAGACCTTATTCAGCCATTACTTGGTGCTCTGGTAGCTCAATTCGCATGGATAACATTTGCCTGGTAAGTGCGATTAATTATCTAGAAGCAGCATTTGCAATACTTGTCTTGAGAAAAAGCATTTGTTGCTTGGAATTGTTTGCTTAAAAAGTGACGCCTACTCGTCCAGGAATACCCCAAAACCCTATAATCCAAACTTTACCAGAGATTCTCCTGAAAAGCTTGCGCTTTTGGATGTTTTTATGTATTTGTGAATTTGCTTGTGTATGGCCTTCACTAAGTACTTTTCTAGAATTCTTGTGCATTTTTTAAGCCTGATTGTGCAAGTTGTGTTTTTCAAGCATAGTATATATGTGGTCTTTATTGAATACTTCAGACATCTTTGTTTCATCGTTATGTAAGTAGAACCGCTTCTATTTCCATTATTGTGCATTTTTAAGCTTGCTCATGCAAATTGTGCTTTTCAGACATAGTATATAAGTGGTCTTTAGTGAATACTTCAGCAATCTTTGTCTCAGTGTTATGTAGGTAGAACCGTTTCCATTTCCGCAAGTGTTATTTCGTATTTGGTTGAGTATGGTCCTTTAAATAGTATTCACTTGAGTCAAATTGGGCTATTTGCTTAAGAATTCCTCTAGTAGTTAAATTCGCATAGAATGAATACTTCAAAAAATTGTTTCATGAATATGTAAACATAAGGTGTTTCATTTGACTTTGCAGATAGTACTTCAATACTACTTTGCCTGGTATAAACACAACTGTTTCAATGCATTAGTTGCTCAACAAAGCACTATTTGCCCTTTAAAACCACACTTTGCCATATTTTGGTTGAATATGGTGCTTCTTTCGTATTTTGGTTGAGTATGGTCCTTTAAATGGTACTCACTTGAGTCAAATTGGACTATTTGCTGAATAATTACTCTAGTAGCTAAATTCGAATAAAATGATTATTTCAAAAATAAAAACGATTCATGAATATGTAAACATAAGGTATTTCAGTGGACTTTTCAGAGAGCATACTTTGCCTAGTACAGACACAATTGTATAAATACAGTATTTGCACTTTAAACGCACACTTTGCCATTTTTTGGTTGAGAATGGTGTTTATTTCGTATCTTGGTTGAGTATGAACCAAGAAAAATGTTTCACTATTTGATTAATCCTTTGCCTCGTACAAACACAATTGTATAAATAAATTAGTTGCTCAACAAAACATTAATTGCCCTTGAAAGGCACAATTTGCATAGAAAAACACTGATCTAAACATCTATATATGGTTATACATGGTTATAGATATTTTTGTATTTTCCAAATCCAAGCTGCTGCGCGACTTGAGGCTTTAGTGTTAACCGCAAGGGATGGCGTGGCCGCGTGTAAGGCGTAAGTCCTTGGTTCAGGCCCTTTCAGGCTTGTCCGTTTCAGCCAGTTCAGCCTTGCGGGCTTCTTGTTTTGCTCTGTTTGTCGATGCAGGCAGTTAGAGTGAGTGGGATGCTCGTAGTGTTCCCACTTGGCAGTCCGTTTGTGGATGTGTTGGCGAGGTTTGTTTGAGCCGTCAATGTCTCGGAGAGAGAAGACGCAAGCAACTGCAGGTTGGATCAGCTTCGGGAAGAGCTCGACACAATGAATGACGAGGCGTCCCGGAGTCCCTGTCAGCCTCTTCGAAACAGAGCCCTGTTAGACGCTGCTCTTGTGGCTAAACCCGGCAGCAAAGCCAGCCCTCCTCCCCAGACCAACCGCTTGAAGACCGAAGCCGCTGCTAAGGCAGGTCCGCGTTAAGAGTCAAGGGGGGGGCGGGGGGGGAGGGTTCCCCAGGTTTTCATCCAGAGGTTGCAAGGTTTCAAGGAAGATCCAGTACCTCTTCCGGTCGATGCACCCTCACTTTTCAAAGTTCGACTTCATAGCGAACACCCACACACACACTCTCTCCGCCTGACGGGTGTTGAGGCTCTTGCAAGAAGTGCAAAGCAGGGAGAAGGGCGGGGGGTGGGGGGGTAGTGGGATTTTGACATCTGGGGAAGCGCAGCTTGAAGCCTGATCGCATTCTACGCATGCGCTTCCTATACGCCTGCTCTCTGCCTCTCTCTGCCAGGGCGGTATGTCGGAGAAGGCGTCGGAGCACGCTCAGGCTGCGGAGGCCGAAATGGACGAAGCAGCGGCATGGCAGAACGGATGAAAGCTGCAACAAAAATCACGATGAAGACGAATCGAACGGGCTTCACGGGCAGTAGGGCCCGGATTTGAGACCAAGCATGAGGATACCAGATTATCGAATCCAATGTTAGCTTCAGAGTAACTTAAAGGTGTGCCCAGCAACCAGCCAGAAATAGCCATATCACAGGTTTATCCGAAATCCGGGAGCACGGCTTTACTGAGTCACAATGAGTTCAGGAGGCCTGTGTTCAACGTGTTCCTGCTGTCTCTGCTGTCTCCTGGCCTCACTTCCTGAGGACGAGAAGGCCACTCAGGCGCAAGCGGTTGCTGAGAAGGCCCAGAACGATTTTATCTCCGCCAAGGCCTGGAGGGGTGTTGTTTGCTGACATTGCTGAGCAAGCATAATATTGTATATACAAACCCCTATATATGTCCTACCATCAGCCCCCATGTCACATGGACCATCAGGGTAGAAGCCAACTCTTCCCCTGGCTTCCTTTCGCGCATTTTTGCGTCGTTTCTTCGCTCTTGCTGTTCAGATGCTGGCTCGAACCTGGGGCCATGGCCACCCGCGAGAGAAACGGCTTGCATTTGGTTCAAACACCGAGACTGGCATGAGGCGAGTTTCTACAGTTTAAACGGGGGTGCTCAGCCTTTGCCACATGAGGCCGTCCTGCCGTCCTGGAGGTAAAGTCCTCTGGCGTGATGTGTTTTTGGCATGCCGCCTTGCTGCTTCGTTTGACCACCGTCGCCGGGACGTTCCCTCTCGGCTCGCTGTACAGCACGGGGCTGCGGGCTCTAGCACATAGGTCTAAAACCGGTGCAGACTACGACCTGGACCTCCTGGAAAGGCTTCTGTCATCCAAGGCCGATGCCTGCTGCGATCTCCCCACCATGCGCAAGATGCGCAGGGATTTCGATAGCTCTGATTTCCACGACTGGTCCGGAGTGCCGGACGTCCGCCGTGCGTCAGACCAACTGACCTATTTCCTTGCGCTAGAATTGGTTTCGAACTCGGAGGCTGGCTCTGCTGCGCTTCAGAAGTGGGTGAAGTCACAGAAGATCCACATTGTAAATTCACTGGAATGGCCTGATGGGCATGACCGGGCTTATGATGGGTGTCCTGGTGTCTTCGCCATGGTTTCCCTGTGCATGGCAGAGAGCCTGATAGTAAAGCTATTGCCTGTAGCGTCTGCGGACGCTCATTGGACAACTTGGGCGTCCACAATGCGAGAGATATTGCAGTTGTTTGTGCCTGTCGGCCAATTGATCCGAAGGCATGTGAGAAGCACAAGTTATGATCCAGCTTCACCGCTGCATGAAGCCATGTTGTATTGGCATGCCAGAGCTCGCCGACGGCTTGGCATTCTGCATGTCTCCTTCAGCGAGCCCTGGTACCCCAAGCCAGGAAAGTTGCGGCTTTGGCTACGCCTTGGGGACATGTTGCGGACGTTCATCTCTGCAGGTCGTCCTGCGCAGGTCCCCGTGGGTCGGACACCAGCCACGCTTCCGGACCAGCTGCAAATCATCACGCAAAGAAACACCTTTGGACAGACTGGCGGAATGGGCCTGGGATCCTCATCTCATGCCCAGAGGAGCGCCCTCGGAGACCTCGTGCAGGCCCTGCGCGCGGTGCGGCGGCGGTTCTCCTCACGTGAGGAGCTGCCAAAGGAGTTGGAAACCATGTGGTGGCCAATCAAGGGCTCTGCTATTGCCATGCTCAGGCATGGCGCGTGGCACGGAAACCTCGCCAAAGGCAAAGTGGACATCGTTGACATTGACATGGACTTCTCCATCCTCGTCGGGTCACCAGCCTTGTGGTTCAAAATCTGTGTCTTTCTCACCGACTTCCTGATCTCCAAAGGTTGGGAAGGCTGCTCACACCACACTTTCGGCTGGTATTTGTCGGGACATGGTCCGGAAGGGACTGCCTGGAATGTGCCTTCGCCAAACCAAACCACAATGGATGGTAGGGGAGCTTCCCTACTCACCTGCGCCAAGCTTCACCCTTCTTCGAACGCATGGGTTCAGTTTGAGCTTCTCTGGAATAAGGTCATGCAGCTCGTTCAACCTGGTAAGGCTGGGCAAGAAGACTGTGACGCATGCGCAGGCAGGACCCCGGACGTCAACAACGGCTGCGACAATTTCCCGAAGGGGCCAGAAGTATGGCTTAGAAAACTCTTCTGGCTGAAGGAAAAGGTTCGCCAGCACATGTTGACTGGCTTGCCAAGCCAGTTGCATGGCTTCGTTGTCACAACCAATGTAGTGTGCGAGATTGGTTCAAACCGTTGCTTCCTGGCCGGCACATATCCGCACCAGTGTTGGTCAGGTGGCATCCCTCTTGGCTGCATCTATCCGCAAAAGCGCTGTGGAGCTTACAACGTGTCGGTGGCCTGTGCCAGGTGCAACAGGCATGAGATCAAGTGGTTCAACCACGGAAAGTATTGGGCCCGCCATCCAAGCCGGCCCTGCCTGGCTCTGCCAATGATCTTCGGAAGATCCGAACACTCTGTGTCTCGTGGGCTGTACCATGATCGCAATTGGGTCGACGGCCGAAATCTGCTCCTGCATCAGGATGGCATCACAGATGAGGATGTTCAGGTGCTCGAGACCACCTCCCAAATGCTCCGGTCACGGGGCTTCGACACTTTTGGCCCAGAAGACAGGGCCGAATGTGCTCCTGCTGTAGACGGTCGCAGAAGTAGCATTCTCGTCATCGATGCCGATGCATGCTTGCCTGACTGCAACTACTCATTCCAATCTGGAGAAACAGGGTCCGAGGGCTACCGAGGCTACTGATGTTGACCACAACGGACGAAGCGGCGACATTGAGACCACTTGCAATAAGTCGCCAGGTCATCTTGATCGAGGAGTCACATGTTTCGGGTATCCTCTGCCTGTAAACCCTTGACCGGCACATCCAGCTTGAGAGATGACCCATCCGGAACGAGAGTTGATATACGTTCCACTTTGCCCCAAGGGTAAGATCAGCACAACAGAGCTTCAACAACTCTTTTGGCAATGCTGCCCCCAGGCCGAGGCGGACACAGCTGCACAGAACCTGAGCCCTTGTTGGGTGGTGTTGGGTGGGGCGGAGGTTTTTCTAGAGCTCAAGGGGGGGGGGGGGGGGGGTGCTCTTTCCGGTATTGCCAGAGTCCGCTTGCAACTTAAGCTTTAACAATCTCTTTCAACATGCGGCAGGGGGGTTTAAGTTGACCTAGCCCTCCCCGATCTGAGGATGTATTTCGAGGCGAACGCCGAGCTCGAGAAGAAGACGGATATGCATCAGATGGTGTCTTGCCCTTCCCTTGTGCCCTTCCCCGGATGTTGTGCATCGGTGGTTTCATACGGGTTCCTTCAGCGACGTTGCCCAGCATCCTCTTGCATGGTAAGAACGGCCGCGCAGGGCTCGGGTGTGAAAAGTCCAGGTGGAGATGGTTCGAACAAAGACAGACGACTTCTACAAGGCATTGGACCAGATGACCACGAGCACCCTTGACCGAAATTGCAGGGCCGCTTCAAGTCGGGGGCACACGCGATGATGTGTTGAGCGCCTGGTCTTCAGGGCTTCAGGGCTTTAGCAGTGCGCATATTGGGGGAAGGGGGGGGGGGGGCGGGCTGGGGAAAGGGGGTGGCGTTGAGCTTAGGTCTTGGATCCCCAGACAGATCCAAGTGCCGATTCTTGTAGAGCCCTCGCACCAACGCCCTTCTCCGAGGTCCCACAGTTGTTCGCACCAAAAAACATCGACAGCCTCCCGAGAACATGGGGGTTCTTAGGGGCTTCTTAGGGTGAATAGGGGCCAAGTTGACAGTTATTCGTGTCCTGACACTCCTACTTGGCCCTCAAAAAGCTGCATGCTGCGCTATAAGAAAGGGATGTGGAATAACTTCCTTACATAAGAGCATGTAAGGCATGGAAGCTACGCTGAAGCAGCAGAAGGAGAGCGGCTCGAACGACACAAAGCCGGCATATGCAGCTGGCCGTATATGGGGGTGCAGGCATGTAGGACATGTAGGACTCACTACAGTGACCGGTGGTTTTTGACAATAGGGAGCCGGGTCTAGTCCTTGCTACAGTGCTACAGATGCTGTTGTCACTTTTGCTGCTGTTGCTTGGTGTTGCTTGGTGTGGCTTTTTGTTGGTGTCGGTGTTGGTGTTGTGGCAGTTCTGGTTGTTTTGATTGTGGTTGTTGTGGTTGCTTTGATTGTGGTGGAGGTGGTGGCGGTGGTGGTGGTGGTTATTGTGGTGGCGGTGGTGGTGGCGGTGGTGGTGGTGTTTTTTGCCATTGTTGATGCTGTTGCTGCTGTTGCCGCCATTACGGTTTTTTGCCGTCGTTGCCGTTGCTTCAGTTGCTCGTGGTGCTTTTGTTGTTGACGGCGTGTTATTCGCCCATGGTTTGCAACCTGTGGTCTGTTTCATGCGGTTCCGCCTGTTCATCTAAGGAGCTTGTCCGTGAAGACACCAATGTCAGGGCAAGCATGGCGCCCTGGCTGTTGCGCGATTCAGTACCCCCTTCCCCGAAACAAACACCGCCAGTCCACCCCCCGAAAAAAGAAAACATTAACCAAGACTTGAATATGATTCATACAGATTTCATGCGCAATCCTTGTCACATACTATGACTCAGAAACTGTTCACATGATTGGTAGGGGGATTGAGATTTGGGAGAGACATGCGAGAGTCAGAGCCGCAAATGACACCAGGAAGCATATAACGAGATGGTCATCGTTTTCCAGCGCTTACACTCCAAGAACAAGGAGTCCGATGACATAGCTGTACCCCTTGTGTACCCCTTGTCAGAACTGTAAGAGAGTCGGGCTTTGCCATTTTAACAATGGCAGGGTATGAAGACTATGAAGGGCAGGTTCGCCCCCCCCCCCCCCCCCCAAGAACCCAAACCTGGTCTTAGTCTCCATCACTTCCATCGTTTGACCAGCAGCCCGTGTCGAAAGCTTCCAGAGCTGTGATCGAGCAGATGAGCTTGAGTTGTTTCGGGTGCCCGGAGGAGTTCTACGACTTCATCGTCGTGTCTTGACTACGTTAAGTTTGAGTCATTGCAAGGTCACTCCGCATGCCACGTTGGCCCTACCTGTGGTGCTTTGCATGCATATGTAGATACATATATATATATATATATATATTTTTTTTTATTTATTTATATCGTATATTACATATATATATATATATTTATTTATATCGTATATACACACTGATGATCCCTACGCCCAAGCTCTGGAAGTCATCCTGTGCAGGGCAGCGTCCACGAGATCCAGGAGAACGCGAATGCTGCCTACACTCTTCAGTGTGATCCGACGGAGGTGGCCCCAGCAGCAATAAAAGTTTGGCTTTGCTTGGAAAGATTCGGGATCTTTGATCACTCACAGTCCATCGGACCTTGCCCTCTCTTCCTTTAGCTGCCACCGCTGTAAATGCAATACAAGAGCCTACATAATAATTACCAAGATGATGCCTTCGTAGCGAACGCAAACTGCCCCAAATACTGTGGGAAAAAGCTTTTTGGCTTTCGCATGCAGGCAGAAACTGTAGCTTTTGGCAACAACGCTGAACAGGACAACGCCTGGTGGCTGGACAGTACTGAAGTTGAACTGACAGATGCCGTTGCATACCTTGGCATCCATACGGCCCTCTGAAAGACCAATACGGGGCTTTTACCTACAGCATGAAAGGGAGATATAAATCGCAATAGGGGGTTTTGCTCGTGCAAACTGCCTGGTGAAGAAGAGAAGTAAAATCCCATGCACATTAATGAGCTAATAAGAATATCATTGCGACCTTTGTGAGTCTTTTGGTGGGCTCTCTATTTCTCTTTTCCTCTTCCTTGTTTATTAGTATTCTTCATGCGCGAGCTTCTGAGAGCATATGAATAATGCAGTGAAAGAACAGATGAACAGGAAAAAAAGCAAAAGACACTAGCAAAAAGCCTGTTAAAATGATTGATCATCTGGGGCTGAGTCTTAATGTCTTGACTTGTAACCGGCTTAGAGACCAGTCCAACCGCAGCACCCACCACACCTTGAGACCCAAACCAGCCGTTTGCTGAGCAGGTTCCTGTTTTGTCCTTAACAGGGCAAGCCCCGTCCAATCGCACAGCAATTAATCGTTGGCAAGCCACATACCAAAGGATGTTTCATTCATTTCTCCTTGTGGACACGATCCACCAAAGCTCAACAGCTTCAATACCCACGTGTACTTGGGGCGCACCCGCATCTCCACATAGACATCTGTGCAGACAGAATGCAAGAAGTGGCAGTGCCCCGGTCTATCAGCCTTCCCTTGCAACAGACAGCCAAACAAAATTAGGACCACAGGTGTGAATGAAGCTGCCAGCATCTCGAGTTAACACCCTGCACCCTGAGATCCTTATAAGACTGTTTGAGGAACTCGAGATGAGCGTGGGCAAGGAGGAGTTCCAAGAGAAGTGCGGCAAAGGCATGTGGAAGGTCGGGGACACGTTGCTTCAGAAACTCCTACGCTAACGGCCCCTGGAGGTGTACGGCTCGTTTGTTGTGACCCGACAGGTCACCCTGCTGTGCCTCATAATATGTCCGACCTGGCTAGGGTGGTTTCTGAGAGGCTTTGAAACCAAACCGCACGCTGAAGGCACTTTGAAGACAGTTTTGGGGCATAGGCATTCTCCAAGGCTTGGAAGAAACATTGGCACCCTGAGATCCCTGAAGGACTTGCAGCTGGAGCGCTTCAAGTTCCCGCACAAGAAGTCCGAGGTGAACCCCAAGGCCAGCAGTAGAAAGGTAACCATAGCTGAGCAAGGACTAAGAGCAACTCATGTGAGAACTCATGGTGTTTAAGAGCTGTTCAGGGTTTGGCGTTTACAAGGTCCAAGATTTAGCTAGTTTGGATGTGATCGAGTTTCACCAAACCCGTCTTTGCAACAAGAGGGGTCGTCCCGATGAATTCGCAGCAACAAGTGGCACACTTGAGCTCGTAGCCTTCTGAAGCCCCAAGCTGGCCAGTGGCAGCGTCGGCCTCAACCCTAAACCGCCTAAAGGGCCCCTTTCAACACCCCTAACTGCAACCAAATCCGAAGCCCAAAGTGCCCAAAGCGAAAGGCCAAGCTGCCGGAGTAAGTGCCCCGTGGCCTGGGCCTCCACTCTGAGCTCGGATCCACGGCCCTGCCTCAAGTTCCTCGTGGCTTGCCTGTTGCAGTGTTGTTTCGGACCTGAAAGACTCAAGTGACAACCCCAGTACTCTCGCAACAGAGGGTCTCGTCCGTCCTTCTGTTTCGAGCATGTTTCTGAAAGAAAGGGCCCGCACTTGTGGAACCATATTTTTTTGCCAAGCCCCCTCGGCAAGGACTAGTGACCTCACTCACCTGCCATTTCTGTAGGGAACCAACCAAAAAACCCTTCTCTGGCCTCTAAGGGGCCAGGATGAGCTGAGATGAGCTGAGGGCGTCTCGCTCAGACCTTCAGCGGATTGTCAGACGACGGCGTCTCAGGAAAAAAGCTCAGACCTCGAGGTAGCGCAACCTCGAGGTAAGGCAACCTCGTCTGCAATCAGACCGCAGTGCTTAGAGTTGCACCTTGGAGACGCAGGACTACGGCAAGGTCCCCAAGTACCTCACACACATCAAGAAGGCCATTGGTACCGTATGCATGTTCTCTCGATTAGGAATGCTGCACAAGATTTCGGAAAGCCGTTTGCACACGAAATGTTGTCACGGCTGCAGCTGGTCAGGACATCGACGCAGAGTATGAGTACATCCGCCAGCTTCTTGCTCAGATTCCTCACCCCCCTCCACCTCCAACTCTAACTATGT